AAAAAAAAAACCAATACTCACCCTACAAATCACCTTATTCAACAAAAAATAGTCGAGCTGGGAGAGCACAAAGACGGTCGCGGCGAGGATAAAGTACCACACGGGTCGGACCTCGTTCAGGATCCCGAGCACGATGTATAGCATCAGGGCGAAGTAGAGGATGGCCGCGCTGCGAGGGAGGGGAGGGAGAAAAAGTGAAAGCAAGGCAGGCAGGGGCAGTGTGGCGTTAATGCTCCAAGCGAGAGAGGAGGACACGACAAAACTCACGCCGCGGGCCATATACTCGTCAACACGAACAGCGCGGTGCCGTGCAGCGCCTCGGGAGGTGCGCTGGGCCCAAACGTGTGCGTATACATGAACGCCGTATCGAGCGCTATATACGTCGTCGCCGCAAAAAACGCGAGCGTAAAAAAGTGGAACGGCTGCATCACGTCAAGCGTGAATAGAATGCAACCCTCGACAAGGCAAGGGGAGAGGACGCACGATGAGGGAGCTGAGCGTGCCGTCCTCGACGACCTGGGTGGCGACGATCGCGTTGGCGAGGAGGGCCCAGAAGAGCGCGGCGACGAGCCCCGCGTGGATGGCGGTGACGACTGTGAGCGCCGTAGATCCCTGTTCGAGGAACGCGCCCGTCGACACGAGCTGGAACGGCAGCGTCAGGAGATACAAAATCTGAAAATACCGCAGCTCGACGCGGCCTGCGAAACATGAGTACGCGTGAAGGAGAGGGGGAGGGGAGGGGGGGACGGACCGACTGCAGCTGCGCGGCGGGAGGTGAGGACGACGAGGAGGGCGGTGAAGAGGATGCTGACGGCGCAGGCGACGATGTTGGCGACGTTGCCGAGGGACCCGCTGTGCCCCAGTCGGAGGGCGCCGCACGTCGGGTCGACGCCTATCGGCGCGGAGGCCTGGTCCGCGGACGCGCCTGTGAGGCTCGCCGGGGCATGACGGAGGAGCTATTTGTTGTTTAGCGTTAACTAGGGAAGGAGGGCGGGGAAAAGGACCTGGGTGTAGAAGAGGTTGCACCAGGGGTAGGAGGGCGTGGAGGTGCAGAGAGGACGAAAGTCGCCGAAGCGGGTCATTGCTAGCTAGCCAGCGCTGGTCGTTGCAGGTCGTGGAGAGGAGAGGAGAGGAGATATGAGCATTGAGGCACATGGCGTCAGACACGCGACGCGCCACGAGGCTTTGCTGTACTCACCGGAGGCTCCAATTACAATAAACCAAAAGAGAGTGGCACCAGCCCGGGCGCAAGCAAGCAAGGCCTTCCCGAGGCCCAGTGAGTGTACAGAATACGTGCTGGCGAGTGGGTGCTCGCCGTCATCAACAGCGACCACAAGGTGTGAGCCCGTGGTAACCGCCCCGCTGGCACCGCGACCCCGGATCGGGGGTGGTTGGGCCGGCGGTTTGCTGTGGTCGAACGAGGCTGTCGTCAGAGGGACCGAGGGATGAAGTTGCGATGCCGGCATTATGAACGGTAAGATTGCTAAGGCTTACGTGCAACGTCAAATTTTGGCTCCGATATAGTAGAAGGGGTGGGCGTATGGCTACACAGACGCGGAGGAGTGGCTGAGCACAAGCATTCGACTTTGACAGTTCCTGTCAGAGACGGAGGTGAGTGATGTCAAGACATATCATCCGTTTCTGGCCTGTTCCGCGCCATATCACTGCACATTTTATGACCGGACTCTCTTTTCCTTACCCTACTGTGGCTTCATCAGATGCGTGCCACAACATCTATGGTACATGAATACTCTGAATCCTAAAGTGTCTGCGACTCCCACCTCCTTCGTTCAGGCTTTTCCATGCCATCCGACATGACGCAGGAACAGGACAAGACCGCAGCGTACGCTACGAAATTTTGCAGCCACTATCCCTCACCGAAGCAGCGTATCTATTACCTCAACTGCGATGCTCGATGTGGCTGCTGACCGACTCGAATATTCCTTCCAGTTTCGAGGATCAAGAATCTTCAGCTCGCAGAGGCTCCATACTTCTGGAGGATGCTACGCTACGTCCCCGATCCCGCCTAGCATAAACTCCAGTCGCTAACGCAAAATATTTGGTACCGTACCGCCGTCACAACAATCCATATCTATCCAAGTCATAAGCCGACTTCCTCTCTCAATGGGCTTTGACCATCGCGCCGTTGCTGGTTCTCCTCGAAGCACTCCCGAATCACCACAGCCTTATCCGACTCGCAGAGGCAGGCGGAACTCCATTTAGGCCTTGCCTCTTTCCCAGCGCCGCATCCCGTTGCTGAGGCTCTTTCCGACTGCCCTCTCGCCCGCCCTCTCCACTCCATAGGTGTACAACGCGGAACGACATTATTCAGCTCGCCAGCTATCTTTCTGTACTGAACATCGGGTGCTTGCTAACCAGCTTACTTGTGAATGAAAGTATTGGCGTCCAAGTCAATGATGCCCAAGTTATACCGCCGTGTGCACTTCAGCCTTTGTCGACATTGAAGTGGTATGGGTATGCTTGTCCTCCACATTTTCCCGGAAGGACGGGTCACTCGTCCGGAGACGTGGCCACCATGCATGCTCAGAATGGGCCTCCGGCTCAGCCTGCCTTTACTTCCGCACCGCCCGTTTCATGTTAGTCTGCGAGTTCCGCCATCGCTACTGAAGCGACGGCCGATATGAGAAAGCACACCCCCACAAATCGTCCATTAGGTCAACAATGCATTATATGTACCAAGTCCAACGAGCGTCTGGGAGACTACATTACAATATCCGAGTGGTATCAGTACAGTATGTGGGTAGAATATAAATGTAAATATGCAACGAGCAAAAGAAGAGACAGTTCGCGCGGAGCGGAAAGACACAAGATGACCGCGTCCGCTTGGACATGGAGCTCAACGCGGCACGCACGCGGCCCAATCGACCTCCCCACCCGTCCCATGCCTCTGAATCAAATCCAAGCGCACCTGCACCACCGCCATGAGCCAATGGACCTTCATCGAGATCTCCATCATCTCCGCCCACTTGTCCGCCAGGTACCGCGGGGCGCGGCAGTCCGTGACGACGGCCTGGAGGTCGTCGAGGATGGCGTTGCCCTCGCGGAGCATGTCCTGGTAGCGCGCGAGCCAGTCGAACACGGCGCTCTTGGTGAGGCAGCACGACTCGAACAGCGCGGTGTACGAGGCTTCGAAGGTGAGCAGGAAGGTGTGCACGGGGGAGTCGTACCCCGTGGCGGCGCAGCGGGCGCGGACGGAGCGGAGGCGCTCGTCGAGGGTGGAAATGAGGTGCGCGTGGTCTTCGGGACTATACCAATATTTGTGTCTAGGTCATTGCGCGTTTTGTTTTGAGCAGTTTGAGGAAACCCACCTCGGCACATCTTCTCCGTCGGAGTGGCGCGCACCCGGCGACAGCGACCTCGACCCGCTGCTCCTGCTACTAACAGACGCAACCACCGCCCTCTCAAGCAGCTTCGCCCTACATCCCCCATCCGTCAGCACGACGCATCACGCACTCCAACACCCACGCACCGTTTCCGGCGGTACCACGCCTGGTTCTGTCGGTTCTTGGCCTCCTTGCGCTCGCCGTCGTCCTTGTATTTGCAATTTGCCATTATCGAAAGAGTATTAAAAGTGGGCGCACATAACGAGCGCGGGGAGAATGGGGAGACGGGGGAGGTGGAAGGCTGCGGGTCGGACAGGTTAGGACGGGTCGGAGAGTTCCGATCGTCTAGCTGGCAGTGTGGCACTGGCTTAG